AATTAAGTAAAAAGGGAAATTACATGTAAAATTATTTTAATTATAATTAATGTTCATGTTGCATTGGACTGTCAGAGAATGGACCAGGTAAAGAGTTAACAATTTTAATACTAAAAAGAGTTCTACTATCATACTATGCATACTCCCTTACTTCTACTCACAGAAGTGGTAAATAAAGATTAATCATTTTTATCATGTGAGTCCACACAGAATCATAAAAATTGAAAGTATAAAATGAGAGTGCATTATATATTTTAATACTAAAAATACACAAGTTAGGACCAGCAAGGTGGACCCTGGTCCATAGTATAACAAGTGATAAGTAATTCCGTCAACCTAAAGTATTGTTTGAATGGACTTGTCCTCATGTTCAATCTATCGAGCCCAATAGGTGAATTTAGTTAGTATTGTCTTTGTTAGAATAGTTGTAAGCCCAATCCACATCTCATTAAACTCTGGACATCTCCTCTAGGGCTTGTTATACTTAATAAATTTTCTTTCTTTCCCAAAATAATGATCCATACAATTGTACAATTATGCCGATCACGCAAATGGAATGTGTAGCCCAGTAGCCTTTACCCCCTGACAAATGCTAGCTGGATGATATTTGATATATCAATTACGGAATTTGGCTATACTTCCCAGTGTTGTTCCAATCAAATCAATAAATACACCATGCAAGATAATGCTTTGTTCTCTTTTAAAGGAAAATGAAATGTGACAACCAAATATTTTAATTTCTCAAAGTATTATTTGATTCATGCCAACACCTTCTCGGTCAAACTCTTTGAACAGTACAAGATCTCTCTAGTATAATTTACTTCTTTTACATGATTTTCAGGAGCAGAGTTTACCTAATATCATCGCATTATGGATGCGAGTTTCTTATATATATATAATATAACAAAAAATGCTGTGTTTCTGAAGTCCAGGAAGTTAGGTGTTCAGATTGACTTCATTCACCAGTTGCATAATTCCACAGAGTGTGAAGAAGAAAACATTTATTTATGTCTCATGAGACTAGATCAACGCCCAAAATAAATTAATAAATCATCAAGTGAATGATGATAGGGAAAGAAAAACTAATACTAGTACTAGGTACTATAGTTATAGCGGTCGCATGTCAAATAATTGTGTCTTTCGTTCATACTACAATATTAATTTTCACATGGGTACGTGGAAGTAAGCAATTAAAATTAGTGTGTTTAATGCTTGATAGAGTAATTTGTTCTGGAAGTATGAACTTGTAAACGTACACTATTATGTTGTGTGTAAATTTATGTTTTGCAGGAAGTATGTTATTTTATATGGATGAAAATATAGCAGTTTAAGTATAATAGGCTAAGTATATAGTAAGTGGGTAAGTGTATAAAAAGTTGATCAATATCTCTATTTGTATTCGAGATTTTTTAAAAAAATATGATGAGGAGTGGCTGATGGAATTGATATGGCATCCTTTGAGTGGACACTCATATCGATCATGTCACAAGTAACCACTGATGTGATGACTGGTAAAGTAGTGATGATAAAATTGACCATTATTAGTATCAATAAATACTTCAGTAAGCACATCAGCTACTTTATTTTGTTCTCTATAAACATGTGCGATATGATGATATATCAAGTGGTATCTAAAAATTTGTCTGCACCTCTTCACCATGTTGGTGAAAGGGCTTATCAAAACACCACCCTATATAAGTCATTTAGTAAATAATTTGAGGGGAATGACTAAGTATAATCATATAACTTATTATTAATTACTCTTCATTTGTTTAGAGATGTGAGCAGAATGATGTAACATATCATAATAATTGTGAGACACAAAGCAAGAGTTTCTTGTGGGAGGTGAATGGAGTGTTGGACTAAAAGCAAGAACGTTAGGTGAGATTGTAGAAATGGTTTCAAAACTTGGTCTCACTCCTTAACTAATGACCAATACCTTTGCCTCAGAGGACCCCCCAAACATTTATGAAACAGTACCTAAAGTCTTCAAGACAACCCAGAATTTGGACCCGTTGAGTATAATATATATAAATAATAAATATGTAGTCCGACTATCAACTTAAATTTTAAATTGAGGCAAAACACATCCTCTAATTTAATACTAAATTCAGTATTCACCATAACTTAAATTTATAGTTGAGACCAAATACACCCTCAATTAAGTGTCTAGATGTGACCGTATCTCTTATAAATCATATAAATAATGTCCATTTGAACTGCACTCCATCATTGTTCACCAATCTTGAGGATTTCGTAATTCTGAATTCTGAACTGAATAAATGGTTGTTGAACTAACCTTTTAGTTTTTTCTTTGTGTTTTAGCAGTCAATGTTTAGTGGTGCTATAGTATCCTGGAACATATTGTACTTTCTATCTCAAAAGAAGTAATCAATAGATAAAGCATGATTCTTATATTTAAAGGTCACCAGTTTGATTTTTGCTAATATACTCTCTATTGAGGTCGGATCCTTTAACGAACAGTATATATTGTCCATAAAAAATAAAGAAGAGAAGATGCTTGCTGGAACCAACTCAACCAAAAGTAGTAAACAACAAAAAGGACTAAGAACTCATAAAAGACATCCATCCCCATCCAAAATCATAAGATACTGTCCCCGGCCTAGTTTCAACTAACATTTTATCCACCTTTTATCCTTTTGTCTATTTCCTGAGATTTTTTGGCGATGAATCTATTTGCATCCTTAATTCTCGTTTAATCTTCTAGTAACCTCAACTAAACAGCACTTTTAAGTACGTACGACCTTAATCACTTTAATGCTGCCATGTACTACACCTTAATACCTCCAAATCACCAATAGCACATTATCACGTCAAATCTATCAGCAAGATTTCCTTCAATTAGAGATTTAGAGAACGGACGGGTTTGACCCAAAAAAAATATTAACAAGAATCAAATTTATAACATTTAGGTACGAAAGTCATATTTCAATCCTCGGATCACTCTATTTTGGCTATTTGTCTATTTATTAATCATTGTATCTCGGATTTTGAAGCAAATATGAGTGGCCTTGAGCTGTGTAGAGCGCATATAGTCAACCGCAGCGGGAATATAACGTCGGCATCGATTTACATTTTTATAACAGAATACACTTCCGACATTCACGCTACGTCCAACATGAATTATTAAAAAACATATGGAGTATAATTTTATGGGTTGGTTTCTCGATTTACAAAAGAACCCTACAAGGCTTAGATCAAAGAATTCGCATGGGTCATGGGAGGCTTCTTGCGGATATCTAAAGCAAGCTAAGGAGGATGATGGTCGAGAATAGCATTGAATTGGGGCAACCGTAACAGAATTGAAGTTTGACTTTTTGTGAGACCTGTCTATTGACCTTCTTAATTTGAATCAGTTAGCTATGAACAATATAATTAGTTGTCAGTTAGGATAAAAATGGACTTTCTCGTTAATAATACATCTCTTAATTGTAATAATGTCAAATATAATGTAGTATAATTTTATGAGGGTTATGAAGAGAATGGCGATGGCCGACAAGTCCATCCTCATGAAAACAAAACCACAGCTTTTCCCCACACTGTTGGTTGTTATTTTTGTCGCACCCATCTCTTTCTTTGTTGAAAAACATAACATCAGACTCGGTCTTCATCGCATATGTTTAGACTTATTATATGATACATGGAGTGAAAACAAAGTCATCTCTTCTGCATTTAATTTGCTATATATCGACACAGATTAAATTAATGTTGGAACAATTTTCCACATGAGTGCTGGAATATATGTAATACTGAATAATGCTATTTTTCTTTTTGATTTAGAAAAAACTCCGCAGTCCTTATTTGAAAGTGTATACAAGATGAAGACTTTCTTGTAACCTAGTCGGTAAAAGATCAGAGGTAAATTAATTTATATTGCTTGTAGTTGATTGACTCAAATTAAAAAATAAAAAAATAAAAAAATTAACAGACAACTTTCATAAAGAATCGAATTTTTGTTATTTCTCTCTCTTGATGAGATAATATTTTTTTAATTCATGAACTACTACAAATTAGCAGATCACACATATGTTACAAAATAAATTTATTTATTAATCAAATATGAAATAATTATGCCCCAAGGAGATAAATACTTAGAAATTAAATCGGGATGGGAATGCAACATCAGATCACATTATATTTGTAAGTTAGTTTCATCAAAAGATTATTCCAAACATTAATCCTAATTAATTAAAATATAAGGAAAATTGTATTTTGGATCCTTCAATTATCCCCGTGGTATAAACCTAGTTTCTAAGTTATATGTTTGATCATCTTTAACTCTTAAGTTATAACAATTTTAGTTTCTCATGGACTATTTCTACCACTAATTTATCACTTAATAAAATAACAAATTTGTACCATGCATAACTCAAGGGTTAAAGATGGTCACACATATAACTCAAACATTAAATTTGTAACACAAGTATAACTAGAAGACCAAATATGTAATTTTCTCTAAAATATATAGGCCATGTTTGGTAAATGGTTGTTAGATGATTGAGTTAATTAGAGAGTATAACTAGTTTATAACATTAGCTAATTGTAGAAAAATGTTTAGTAAATTAGTTGTTAGCTGATAGTTGTTCATATGTCATCATCACGAACTAATGAAGACGACATGTGAGAATATCTTGTTCTGATAAAGTTGTATCTATGAAAGTAAAATAGTACAAAATAGTAAGAAACTTGCAATTACTATTTGAAAATATGTATTAAACTCTATTCTTATTTTTCGTGTAATTTCTCTCAAATTACATAGAAAATATAAACTACAAATTGCCATGTTATTATTATGTATAAAGAAATTATACTTAAATTTTCTAATACATTTTAATTTTAATATTACACAGAAATAGAGTTTATCTAATATACACACGAGTAATAGTGTGATTTTCCTCATCATTCATTAAAAAATTTTTTTAAAAAAAAAAAAAAAAAAAACACACACACACACACAACACAATAACTACGCAATTAAATAATTAAAGGCTCCTCTTGATTGCTACTTTTTTTTTTGGTTTGTTTTCTTATGGATAAAATGCCAACCATCTCCACCTCTAGCTAGTAAGGGGTACAAATCTCCATGCCCCATCATACATACACAGTTAACCACAGCACATATGAAAAGGGAGGGGGTTGGATTGAAACTGCAAAGATGGTGAGCAATTTAACATTATTTCGACATTATTACTATATATATAGTCATCACTAGTCTATACTAAGAAAATTATAAAGCTAATTAAGGCTATTAATCTTGGCTAATATTCTTGCTCCTCTTTGATAATGGCTCTGGGGATGAACACACTGATGAATCATTCCAATCTTCCCAGCTAAACGACACATCCATCACCCCTTTTGGGCTCCCCGGCAATGGCAATGCCATTCCCATCCCGAATTTGCGCTTGTAAGCCCAACCAGATCGCATCCTTGTCTCCGCATCTTTGATTATCGTACGACATTCCTCCAGTTTCTCCTGTTTCATTACGCCACTGTTAGTCACATAATCATTGCCGATGTTTCAGATCGTATGATGAATTAATGAAAGAAGCTATGAAATCATTGAAATTCCCAACCTTGTTGGTTCCCAGAATGCTGAGCAGCTGTTCTTGGGACTCCTCGCCAATGCTTGGCTTTAGTCTGCCGATGACATGCAGCATTGTGGCAGCTGCAGTCTCAGAGGGTAGGTAACGCTTGAATCTGCAATCTGGGGTTCACAGTTTCCAATTCATCAGAAAATTTATTGCGATTTAGTCATGAGAAAAGGTTAAATTAAGAAATGGTTGATTAATTACCAGGGATTATGGACAGCAGCACACGTTCACATCTCCTGAGAAACTCGCAGCAGATGCGATTCTTTAGCCCCAGTCTTCTTGCAATGTGATCAAGAAAGGAGAATGGGGTGACAGGGTTCATCTTCCACTGGCGATTGGAGAGAATCAAAAGTTCCATTCTTTGGATCGTTTTGGCCTCGAACACGTACTTTGATTCCTCAACCTGAAACAAATCAAAACCCAGAATGTGTTAGAGTGTTTCCATAGACACAAAACAAGGAACAGATATGGATTTTGGGGAACTTAACGTACTTGGAAATCTAGGAGAAGTGGCACATGAATCTCTTCCACTTTGGCAGCGAGAGCGAGAGAGGCTACAGCTGCGAGTTGACTCGTCCATGGCTTCTGAGTTTGGGGGTCTAAGCTGCAGAGGAACCCATCAAGGTAGTTCACAGCCAGAAGCGCAGTTTGGGCTGAGAAAGAATAATGAGAAACCACTTTCAACACCCACTCCACAGCCTCTTTTCTTGCCTTACCCACACATAGATTCCCCTCAAAACCACTCTCCTGTTCTTTAGACAACAAAGAACAGAGCTCATCGTCTTCCCACAACAAATCCTGTTCTCCAAGAACTGGATCAATGTCATCGCGGCAAAACCTCTCTTCCTCTTCCTCTTCCTCTTCTTCTTCTTCTTCTTCTTCATCTCTGCCCAGCTCCCCCCACTGCTCCTCCTCGCAGTACAGAGCATCCAACAAAAACGCAACCTTTTCTGTTTCTGGGTAACCCATGATGTAACAGAGGCTAAGGTTTCTAAACATTCACTTATTTCATCTCCATTCAAGATTTTCAAAACTCTCAAAAACTGACTCAACCCATTTGCCCAGACTGGGAAGAAGATGGAAGGAGAAGACTTGAGAAGAAAGGGGGTAGGGGAGGGGGAGGGGGGGCTTATATTTTTTTTGGGCATTTTAAGCTTTCTTCTCCGTTTTATAGTTATGGAGAAACAGATGATGGATCATGCAGCGCAATAAATCGACACGTGACACCTGTAACGAGTTACGACATAAAGTGGGCCATTCTTGTAGAGGGTCCCACATTCGAGAGTATGTATATACTATGTTGTATGTATGTATGTACAGTTACCTGGATAATAAGCACCCAAACAAAAATAGTTACCTGGATAATTTCACTGTGGAAACCCCAGTGGATCTTGTCTTTGAGCTAATTTAAACTTTATAACTTTTTTTTTTTTTTAATTGATGACTTATCTGTCCTACGAGGGAGAACTAATGTATTGTCACTTATTTACCATTCAGGAATCAACTGAACTGTCTGTTGAAACGAATTTCAGATTTTCTGACTCCTTGTAGAAGAGGTTTTCGTTATAACATATTGACTATTATTGTTGAAAATAATACTAAACATTGATTAGATGATCACTTGAACTACTCTATAGGGGCGAAGTTTATAACTTTATTACAAGAAGTTAAAAGAAGAAGATTAGCCATAGAGGCGAAAGTGAACAGTTGACCATGGAGATAGAGTTGTCAGCGCTGAAAGTTGGGCAGAAGATGACAACAAAAAATTTGATGTTATGATTTGGAGCGTAATTAAAGTGAGATTACATGAATTGCCTTATTCGCATGCCAGGAAAAAAAGCACAGTGATTATGATTTATGTATGTATCGCTCTCCCTTTGCTTTTATTTTGAGTTTGAAGTGGCTTTATAGGTGGGCCTGCTTGCTGCGGTAGAATAGTCATATATACCTTGGGATCTCTCCTTTACCAAAAGTTACTCCCTATGCATGCCCACTATTTTGTTATCACCCTCACCTTATACTCTTTAGTAGCTATGCAAGCTTCAATAATTCTATGGTTCTACCTCTCCTAGGCTTTTGGATGTTCTTAACATATTTGAAGTGATTAACTAGTCCAAAAAGAGTTCATAACTCTCCATCCTTAGTAGCCATAGTGTGCAAGGATCAATTCGTACCTCTCCCGAACTTTTATAACATGTTTGGTAGAGACTAGAGAGTAATTGCAATTTTTTTTTTTTACACTTTATTCCTTTCTCGTAACCAAACACCCTGTTAGGGACTCTTGAAATTTGAGTGCAATTGTTGAAAACCAATCCTTTGCCCCTTCCCAAACTATATTCCAAAATAGATATTAAACTTGTGGTCCACGGATACCAAGTTGCTTCCGTATGTGGGAGGTTGACTCTTTGTGTTTCATTAGATTGAGAAAATAGTTATGAACAGATACTACATTGTAACAGAGTCAGTAGTACTCAAAAAAACTAAAGCGAGTTATGTACTTGTGCCTTTCCAATCTTTTCCCTCCCTGCATAATTCTTGTATGTCAATTGACCCTACTCAAATTTGGTTGTTTAATACTTATATGCATATATTTTTTGATAAATTTTGACCCACTATATATATATATATATATATATATATATATATATATATATATATATATATATATAATGGAATAAATTTTATCCTTTCGAATTGTCACCTGGATATTTTAGCACTTGATAGTTGATAGTCAATTTGAGACTTATATCCTTGGTGTGCGCTCTAACTATTGCATTTTCCAATATCCAAGAGGTTGGTTCTCATGCTGAAAAACTAGTTGAGACAAAAAAAAAACAGTGTATATCCATTAGTTTAATTACTTGTGAAATTAGCTTTGATATTATCGATGGCGCCCACAAGTGTTGAAAGAGTTTTTTTTTTTTTAACTATGAAGATAGTAAAGAATAGACAGCGCAATCGAAAGAAAATAAATTGATGAATGATTGTTTGGTTACTTTTATGGAAATGGATGTGTTTAAAAGTGTTGATAAAAGAAAAAATATATATACAACATTTTCAATCGTGGCCAATTGTAAAATGGAGACATTTATTTATGAATGTAACTTATACTTATATTTCTATATTATTGAGAGTAATATTAAATTTAAATATTGACACCACCGAATTTTAATCTTGACTCCGCCACTACATATTCACAAAGTCATCACCATTCACTCAGTTAACTCGATCATTACATAAAACAAAATATACACACACACATTAGAGTTCTACTAAATAGTACATAAACTCTCAAATCTTACTACATTGATGTGACAGGCACTGATAATCTATTTTTTTCATGTAGGTCACAATACAAGTGTCAAAATCAAAATTTTGTATGCGCGGAATAAAAAGTTTGAGAGTAGATATAATATTTTCACACACATTAACCATAGTTTTGGGAAGGGTGGAGAGAAGAGAGGAAGCAAAATGAACAGTAGTGGCAGCGGCAAGTGTCAGAGTATTAAAGGTGGTTGCAGAGGGGCAGTGCGAAGTGTATACGAAACAGAATAAAGGAAGGAGAAAAGGGTAGCTGCATTTACCATATATGAACCGCATGTACGTATGTTTATACTTATACACTGCGCTGTAGGGAGAAAAACATAGCTTAGGTGTATGTATGGTGAATAGATAGATAAATAGGCGTGTTATAGGGGGTGGTCTGCTACGATAAGTTGCTTTCTTTTCTTTGCTTTTCCTTTCTTTCTTTCTTTCTTTTGCTGCCTGCATCTTGCAAATAGTTGTTGTTGAATTGAATTCCCTCCCTCCCTTCCTCGCTCTGTTCATGGGGTCATTCCACCGGCTCGATCTCCCAGACAGATGTAAAAAGGGACAAAAGAGAAAGGACTACTGATTCGCTACCCTCTCTCTGCTGCTGTGTATCTCAGACCAACTGGCCCGCCAAAATTATTTCTCTATCCATGGGAGGGAAAAATCCCAAATTATACATGCATTCCCGCTTTAGCCTATAAAATTATTATTCATAATATACTCCACTTTAATTCATTATTACTTACACTACTCCAATCTCAGCTTGAGTTCAACAAATTCAAATCCAGTATTTTATTACTCATTTCGAGTAGCTCACAACCCTAATTCAACTCTTTCTATCATTATTCAGTTAGAATTCTACTACATAAACTCTCAAATCCGGACATTGATAGGTTGGAATACATATAGTATTTTCCATTCAGCTATGATCCGTATAAGCCCCTACTGCATTGCTGATGTGACTGAACAACCTTTGGGATGGCCGGGAGAGGTCTTGTCCTACGGAGTATGTTGTACCAGTAATGTAATTAATTTATTATTATAATTTCACGGACTATAAAAATCATAAATGTTCTATGCGTCCTAGCATGGACCGACTCAACATTTATACGCTTCTGTTTGACCAGTTTCATTGCACTAGTTTACAAAGCTACACAAGGCTGTAACTTGTGGATAACTATTATGTATTTTATGTCCTGTGTTGTGTTCATCAACTTCCAACACAAATATCATCAGCCCACCTAATCATGTCATTGCCAGAATTACTTGTGCAATGCCACGGCAGAATAAATGCAACGCAAGTATTCGCCGGGACAGTCAACATCCCAACTAATTAACATTTACTACATTCATTTTCCATGTCCCGCCAATTAAACTACCGTGAAGGTGATGGTCTGCAGCATGTATTTGGCTATGTGTGGGTCAAATGATGCTACAAAAATGTATGCCAAACCAATACCCACAGCATTACAGCTTCTTGGTGCTCGATCGAGATGACGAGAGTTAACTTCCCATTTTCAAATGTTTTCTAATAAATATTTCGGCAAAGGATGGATACCTATCGCGAACATACCATCTGAGACACTTGTGGTAGGAGAAATCTATCCATCCGCCGTCTGTTCTCACCACGAAGAGGCACCTCGACTGTCTGAATTGGGGATGACGATCAACCTACACGCAGAACGGAATAGCTATTTATAACCTCCATAGGAGATTCTACAAAACTAAAAGTCACATATGATGATAATGGAATTGCTGGGTTTATTAGTCAAATGCTAATTCTATCTCTATAAATAACACGACGGAATGATGAAATAGGGACCAAAACCAAGTCTGCCCTGGATCTGCATATCTAACCATAGATGCTTGGTCCCTGTGGGTTGTTAAGATTTCTATCAATACACCGGCAAGGACCATGTAAGACCCAACATTCACTTTCATATGGATCATATCCGATTCACAAGTGGGGTGCAGCATTGTGGGGGTGAAAAGCAGATGGCATGCAAAGTACGAGTGAAGAATAAGATGCTCAAAATTTAGAACTTTTCCGATTTTGATAGTTCACCTTACAAAAAAAAGTCAAGACAAAAATTTAACATTTCAAACAAACTAGGACAATTTATTTTTCTAAAAACACTGCCTGCAAATAGGCATCAGCATCTAAGTATTCCAGACCCAAAATACAGAGAAACATAGCAGTATTTTACAGGTAACTATTATGATGTATTTAATAGTCCCTTGACTATTGATCTTTACCAATTTTCATTATCGACTTTCAATTTGACCATAACTGGTCCCTTGACTATTGATTTTGTTCCAAATTTGGTCCTCTGGTTAAATATCAATTTAGTAAACATTAAATTTAAAACTAATAATGTAAAATTGTGGTTCTTCACATTCCCACTAATGATGAACTCAATGTATTAAGTTTATGAACCCAATTTTTCCATCTCTACAACAAGCCAATTTTTACATTATTACCCTTAAATTTAATGCTTACTAAATAGATATTTAACTCGAGGACCAAATTTGGAACAAAATCAATAGTAAGGGACCATTTATAATCTAATTGAAAGTCGAAGATAAAATTTGGTAAATGTCAATAATTAATGGATGATTTCTGAAATTAACTCAATTGCTTCAATAAAGCTTTACTGAGTAAAATTGTAAAAAGTGCTAACAAAACTTTTAATAGATGAAGCCATACGAAAATTCAAAATTAGAATTCAAGCACTTAAGAATTTCAACAAATATAATTTTAAAAAAAAAAAAAAACAAAGAAGGCAGCAGGTTTTCAGGTGATATTCATATTGAATTAGAATAACAATTAAAAAAAAACACACACACACACACACACAAATAAAATAACTACTATATAGTCCCTCTGACCATTACTCAAGCTATAGCAGAAAAGAAGAATGACTCTGTGCCAATAAGAAAAAGAGAAAGGAAGCAAGATTTAAAGAAAGGGTTTTATTTGTTTTTTGGATCAGAAAAATGCTTTTTGAAATGTGAAAAATAATCCAGCTGGATGAAAACAACAAGATGCCAAAACACTAATCAAGTTTAGTAACATACTTATATGCATAGTGTGAAAAATAATACAGCTGGACGAAAACAGCAAGACGCCGAAACAGTAATAGAGTTCACTTACAAATATCATTTTGATCTTAGTTGCAATGCTTTAACAATATGAGATAAATTTTACTTTTCAAAAAAAAAACAAAAAGTTAGAAATTTTAAGAGAATGTTCAGTAGATTGGCCAGTAAACAAGCAATATTATCACGGAGTATGAAACATACCATAATTGAATCAAGGCCACAGCCAATTTTATCTTCACAATGAGGGTGATGAGCAAGAAGCTTCTCTACCACAATTTTTTCATCTTCAGCTGTAAGGCGTTCTCCATCCAAATACCTATTAATAAAAATGATAATAATTGTCATTATTACACGTTTATGATTGAAAAATCCAAGAAAATGCAATGGAAGCAGACATGTTTGCAAACAAATTACAGAGATCATAGAGAAACAATACAGCATATGGTAAATTTTTTTCTGAACTCATGGAAGAGACAAGCACAAGTGCAAATCATGTTTTCTTCTGTATTTCAGCAGAGGTAACGTTTCCACAGAAATAAAATAAAGCATATGCAAAGAATGAGTTCTGCATGTTAATAAGCATAAATAGCATTGGGAAGAATATTTCATGGAAAAACAAAAAAGTTTATGCTTTAATGAATGAATGAAATTAGATTGACCAGTAAACAAGCAATATTTATTCATTAGATGAAAATTGATGAAATTCTTAATTGAGTTCAATTGGTGAAGAAATTATTGTGTGATGTGTTTAAATAAAGAAAAGTACTAAAATAATAATAATAATAAACCAAAGAAAGAAAGATGTTGAGAAGAAAATTAATAAAAAGTTAAAAACTTGTATTTTACTTTCATTTTATTACTATCAAATTTTTATAGGTCTCATTTTCTGATTAATTTTGGTCAATTATCCACATCCACACAGCGATTATTGCATACGTTTTCTCTTATGAAACAAGAACTGAAAAGGAGAACACTATATCTTCTTTCCATTAGGGCCAACCAAGTGACAAGCCAAAAATGGAACACATATGAAATGACCACAAAGCAAGTCGGCATTGGAGCATCTCATATTTGCAGAATACTATAAATCTACAAACTTATATTCAACTTGGGAATGTTATGATATGGAGCAATCCTACTAAATATATGGCTTAGGGTTTTGACGAAATCTGCACCTCATTGGTGTGCATAATAGTGATAGACTCCAGGTAGATTATAAGTTGCACCTTAGTGAATTAGCAGTATTCTATTAAAAAGTCAGATGTCATATTGAGTAGACACGGAAATGAATTTAACAAGTACTATCGTCTTTAAGTAATTCAATGCAGAACACAATGAGATTACATGCATTCTCATCTCTGCCAAATAGCCTTTATCCATTGTTTTATGTAAAAACAGATGTGATTTCTCAGATTTTTGGCTCAATCAGATTGGCTCAGCGCATAAGCAACCTCATATCTAATTAAAAACAGTAAGCTAACGATTTAATTCTAGGCATCGTAATACAATCAACGCTACACAGGAAACTCGTATGATCAACACAGGGTAATTTAAAATAAAGCAGCTCATCAAACAATCAAACGACATGCGATAGAGGTAACTGAACAATGAAGAATATTCGAAAAATGAAAATTGTGAGAAATTGGGAAACCTAGTAGAGTGAATAATATCTTTGACGAGGGAAATGACGGGCTTGATGTCTTGGAGTATCTCAGCTTCTTTCTCTTTCCATTTCTGGTAATCTAGTTCCGACCACCTCGGGAACCGAGGCGGCTCGTTCACCCTGAGCACGGTGGTGTCCGGGTTCTGGCCCGCAGAAGATGAGTCCTCGGGTGTCTGAGAAGGCTCAGTAGAAGCGCAAAACAGTCGGCGATTAAGGAGACCGAAGCAGAGGCCACGGCTTTGCTGGTGGTGGTAGAACCGCAGTCGGAGAAGCGACGCGACCCTGAAGAGCAGCGGAGCAGCCATAGTTTGCAATTGAGCTCAGCGAAGAGGCGACGCCCGCACAGAAAGCTAAAGCTCCATTGTCCATTCTCGTTTTGGGCTCACCAATTTTGTCCGTTCCGACTATTGGGCTTATTACTTCGTTTCAAGGCAATTTATATCCTACACCACGGCGCGCGTTGCACTATGCGCCCAAATGCAAAACGACGTCATTTTAATTTTTATTTTTTTTGAAATTTCCCACCCCAGTGAATGACAGTAGTTTTTTCTTTAAAAAAAAAAAAAAAAAAAAAAAACCCGCTGTTCAAGAATGTACATAATGTTATACTAGAATACACATAATTGTATACATGAATGTACATAATTATATAACAAAATATACATACTCTTTTTAAAAGATAATACACATAATCTAACATAATACATAATAAACATAAACTTTTAACATAATACACATCAACTATTAACATAATACACACAAATTTTCTGATTCGGATGTACATAATTGTATAAAAGAATGTACATAATTGTATAAAAAATGTACATAACTGTATGAACCAATACACATAATTGTATGAACAAATACACATAACCATGTGAACAAATACACATAATCCCAGCAACTTCCTACCGTGCCTCCCAAAACGACGTCGTTTTGGGAGGCGCGCGTCGCACAGTGCTATGTGCGTCGTGGTGTAGGGTATAACGATTGTCGTTTCAATGCATCTTTTTCTATTATGGGCTCCGTATCTTTGATCCAGACACGTTTCTTCTTTTTTCGAGTACTACTGACTCTGTTACACCGTCCCGATTAGACTCAAACTCATGACCTCCCATTTGAGAGTCACTGGACTACAAGATAATTGGAAACGTTTCTCCTTTTTTCCTTTTTTTTTTCCATAATAGTTCAACTTTTCATTCTACCAGTTATACCATACTCCGGTCCAAAGTATACAATTTACATACGAAATGCTCACAATTTGAATTGCGAACATTTAGTATGCAAAATTGTAAATATTCAGTATGTAAATTGTGTATTTTTTTACCCAGATCAACATAATAATTTGTTTTTCCTTCCTTCCCCCCGTGACAACCAAGTTAAGTTGGTCAGGATATTAACTTGATAACTACAAAATTATAATTTTGACTCTTAGCGGGAGTGTCTTATTTATCTTTCTTCTTTGTAGTTCTTTACCCGTTAAGATCACAAAATGAGATCTACTCAATAACTACAAAATTACAAATTTGACTATTAACAGAAGTGTTTTATTTCTTTCTTTTTACTCATTACGATCACAAAACGAAGTCTACTCAATAGTCAATACACACTTCTAAATAGTTATTGATTTGAATCACCTTACTATGTACTTGAAGAATCGATTCAAAGTCATGTGGTCCATTTATTTTATTAAATTTAAAATCCAAACAATGACTTTGAGACTTCCATTGATTCATTGATTCACAAAAGCAAAAGGCCAAACCAGTAGGTCACGCCCACGGCCCACGAGAAACTTTCCATGGCTACCTTCTTCAATACCACAAACCACCTTTTATTTTCTTTACTTTTCTATTATCATATATTTTCTCCATTCAAACTCTCTGACTGTGACGACACAACATCATGGCTGGTCTCTTCCAAACAACACAGACGAAAAGAACCCATTCATCCGGTCCACTCCGTTCAAAATCAGTTAGGCTCCCGGTCTATTTGCATTATACCATACGTTATAATGAATTGAACCAATGCATGATATGCAACTAGCCCCCCGGCCCCCACGGCGGCCCGGGGACCACCGCAATTGCAACAATTTCTGAGCTTTGCTGCCATGGATTTCAATCATGAATCTCCCGCACCAACAGACACGATAATATGTGCGTTATCATCTGCGTGTGTTCGTTTCCATCGCCTTTAATTTGGTTTCCTTATCCCTCCCCTCTGACCATGTGCTTTAATTTGTACAAAAACTTTGTGATTGATATCATGTTCAAAGTAGTATAGACAAGTTTACGTTACAAAATTTTTGGCACGTGTACGTGACACAACATGTACGTGGCGTGTTGAAATCTCGAGTGAGGTCCTATGAGAATATGAGATGGAATTATAATTACGGTCGTACTTTTGAAGTCACTTCGATTAGTGTTGAAAAATAATTTGGTACTAAAAGCTCGTATTACTATTGAGAAGTTTATCATCTAGTTATTTCAATATATGATATTATATGGGAGTCGTGCTTAAGTTAGAAGTGGGACCTACATATTAGTGTGGGTGCGAAGTATCTAATAAAATAGGTTATTACAAACTAGAGTAGTCATGGAGTACCCAAGAGAAAAGTCTCACAAAAGACTATGGGTCTGTTTGGCAAACTTAATTGAAAAGATATAAGTTAGGAGCTGAAAGTTGAAAAATTATAAGTTAAGAGTTGAAAATTGAAGAGCATTGAAAGTGTTTGGTAAAATTAACTTTTTGATAAGCTGATAAATGTAAAAAGACTAAAAATGACATCTTCATAAAATTTAAATTAGTTTGTTTACATATTAAAATTTAACATTCTGTCTATTAAAAAAAATAACATTTTGAAATAAAACTATTAGCATAATCATGATCTAGCATCTCATAATGAAGTAGCAATATTGTTGCGAATCTCATTCATCTAATAATAATAATAATAATAATAATAATAGTAGTAGTAGTAATAATAATAATAATAATAATAATAATAATAATAATAATAATAATAATAATAATAATAATAATAATAATTGCCGTGAAAGTTGCGGATAAAGGAGAAGAGAAAGGAGTTTTTAATTGGGAAGGTAAATTATGTCATTTCTTTAAAATAATAAGGATTAAAAAAAAGTTAGGAAGTTATGGACTTATTTTGAAATGCTACCGTTCCAAAATAATCTCTTCTTTTTTTTTTTTTTTAAGCTAGGAGCTTATTTTGGGAACATTACCAAACACAGCTTATCTTATTAGTAGCTTAAAATAAGTTATAAGCTCCTAAATAAACTCTGCCAAACAAAGCCTATAACTAGTTTAATAGGTGGGATGCCTTTTTAAAATTAAACAAACACCCCTCAATCTCTATTATATAGTGATAGTCATAGTCTAAACAACTTACATTATGAACCCTTTATTGACATCTCTAATGTGGGACTATATCTTATATTGTACTAATTAAATTAAATACAAATAAAAAGAGTGAACAAAATATGTATAAAATCATACAATTCGATACATATAACATTATTATTATAAGGAAGGGAGATACCCTACATATACACACTACTTACCTCAAGTGAGGTTCAAACCTTTCACATCCCTCTTAGGGAAGCAATCGGGTACCTAGACCACAAGGTCCTTGGTCGATACATATAACATTATTAAACCTAAATACACCTTATCATGCAATTCAAATAATTTTGCTTATTTCTCCCATTTGTAGCAATTTTTAAATGAAATTTAAAGTGTTATATTTAGTTTTTTAATTTTATTTATTTGGGTTGATGAGGAAAACTCGTAGCTACTATAGCTTGCAAATTACACATAAAAGATAAATCGCACCTGATAAAATTTGAATTCCTATGGCAAATCATGATAATGGAATGAAGGATTTGGTTGTGCCTCTCCCCCACCCCATCTGACATCTGTGGTTCTAGAAATTGAAACTTCAAAATTCCTGCGGGACATCAAAATAATGGAGAATAGGGCGCGGTTTGACTGCGGGGGTGGATCCAGATTGGTTTCAACTGGAGACATTATTGAGTCCACCATCTCAGCATTGCAATTTGCAGCTGCAAATTGCCCATCATATTTACACATGTATACAGACAGATTTTAACTGTGTTAGGTGAAAAAAGGTTCCTCGGCAACATGCCGATTCCCTGTTCCGTAGGTAAGGTTTGAGGCAATGGCAGAAAGACACGCGGCCCACTTTCCGTGCTGGGAATTGGGAAATGGGTGGTGCGCTAGCTAGAATGAGCACGCAAGCGCTGTTGCCCATCATCTATCATCCATGATGCAAAATTGTTTGGGAACAATAAATGAATAATGTTAGGCTTAGCAAATAAAGACTTGCACGATGATTAGTCTTAATGGCATTATTAAGCACTTGAATTTAACATTTCAAATATCTTTTGATTTGGTATGGTGTAATATGGTGGATAGGATAAGAGCAATGTCACTTGTGATTTTTGTTCAGTTTTTTCTGATCAAAACTTAAGTTGGAGGAAAGAGAGAATACGTGAGATTTTTTATTGTTTTTTTAAAGAAAAATTAGGTATTTTGTAGAGTTTATAAGGAAACAAATAAAAAAATATTAAAGAAGTATGGCTGGTGCATGGTATGCACATCAACCGTGTTCGCTAGTGCAGTTAACGTAATTTGTTTACATTTATTTTGTTTTGTTGTTGTTGTTGTTTGTTTGTTTGTTTTTTTTTTTTTTTAAACTCTTTTCTCCTCCCCTCTCTCATTTGGCAAAAAAAATTGACAAAATTTGTTTCGAGCGAATGCTATATATAAGAAAGCCAAAGAATGGACAATCCATTGAAATGTATTCGATTAGAGAAAAACAAATTTAATGGAGGACACATCAACATTGGTTGGTCTAAGGAAATTTCCAAGTATTAATTACATGAAAGGTGACAACAATGGTATTTTCTAACAAGTGTGTCCAATTTCAAGAGTGAACAAAATATTCCATTAAATACCTTCAAAATTTCTTCGAAAAAGGGATTTCATTAGTACCAGCAATCAAATATTTTTATTATATTCGTATCTATAATCATCAAAACATGCTTATTTATCAAATTGTGCTATTTCACCACCTAATAAGATAAGAGTGGGTTGAGAATTTATAGGACTTGCCCCACCAATAATGATAAAAATAATAATATAAAATAATGTTTTATTCGTATTTTAATATGTGGGCTATTTAAACCTTTTACTAGTTCCATTTTAAATTATTTAGACTCATTATTGATTTTAAAATTTTGTATTAATATACGGAGGGTTGAGATATGCTAGTATTTTTTCTGATCAATCCCGCCGTGCTCTAAAACATGGCATGCTTCATAGTTCATACTTCACCCCTCTAAGGTTCTAATCCGCTTAGATAATACTAATCGTAATTAAACTAATTATAAAATAATTGTTGTAAATTGTTATTAAGGAAAGGAGTAATATAGTGGAAGACTTTCAGTCTTTCCTTGCTCATCGGGGGTATAAGGGGAAGAGTAAAAGTTAAAGGACGTGTATGAACGGCAAGAGGCGCGAGTGGACAGGAAAGCAAAACGAAGGTAGTCCACACGGCAAGCACAGTGGGGTCACACACATTGAAGTTTAACCTCCAAAGTGGATATAACCATTTCGCGAAAGGGGGATTTAAAGCAAACAAATCTGTAGAAAATCGGAATTAATTAAGTGTGAAGGGCGGTCCTCCGCACCAAATCCGCACCGATAGCTTAACAAATTCACAACAACCTGGGCGGAGGAAGAGAGAGAGGTACGGGCGACGGAGCTACGTCGTTTCACGTACGGTCGAGTGGATGGGCCAATCAGCTTCCACTGCCGCCGGAGCTCAGAATCAAAGCCACCGAGGAAAGTCCAGATCTACGGCAGCGATTTCCCCGATGAAGGAGAGTGAGAGCTCGGATGACGTCACCGACGGCTCTATCGACGACGACGGTGCTTACGATTACACTTCCAATATTCCGGACGAGTGTTTGGCGTGTATATTTCAGTGCCTTAGTTCCGGGGACCGGAAGCGGTGCTCCCTCGTCTGCCGTCGGTGGTTACAGATCGAAGGACAGAGTCGCCACCGTCTCTCGCTTAACGCACTAGCTGACCTTGCCGACGTTGCTACCTCCATATTCTCGCGATTCGATGCGGTCACCAAACTCGCCTTAAAATGTGACCGCAGATCCGTGAGTATCGGTGACGAGGCCTTAGCGCTTATATCCTTTCGGTGTCGGAATCTGACGCGCTTGAAGCTTCGGTCTTGCCGAGAGATTACTGACTCCGGGATGGAAGCTTTTGTGAAGAATTGCAAGGGTTTGAAGAAGCTCTCCTGTGGATCTTGCAACTTCGGATCTAAAGGCATGAACGCTGTGCTCGATAACTGCCCGTCACTGGAAGAATTATCAGTGAAGCGCCTCCGTGGCATCACAGATGCGGGTGCAGCGGAGCCAATTGGTCCCGGCGTCGCTGGCGCATCGCTAAGAGTTATTTGCCTAAAGGAGCTTTACAATGGACAGTGTTTTGGACCTTTGATTATTGGATCGAAGAATTTGAAGACGCTTAAGCTCTTCAGGTGCTCTGGTGATTGGGATAAGCTTCTGGAAATGGTCGCCGAACAGGTGAGCGGACTCGTCGAGGTTCACCTTGAAAGGCTTCAGGTTAGTGACACCGGTCTTGCTGCAATTTCGAACTGTTCACATCTCGAAATCTTGCACCTTGTAAAAACACCTGAATGTACTAATATTGGGCTAAAGAATGTTGCTGAACACTGCAAACTTCTTCGGAAGCTTCATATTGATGGATGGAAAACAAATAGGATAAGTGATGATGGGTTGCTTGCTGTGGCAAAGCACTGCCCCAATTTACAAGAATTGGTTTTGATTGGAGTGAATCCAACTCGAACTAGTTTAGAGAAACTGGCTACAAATTGTGTAAATTTAGAAAGGTTAGCTTTGTGTGGGAGCGAGACTGTTGGTGACCCAGAGCTCTCCTGTATTGCTGCAAAATGCACTGCATTGAAGAAACTTTGTATAAAGAGTTGCCCCGTGTCAGACCAGGGAATGGAAGCTCTTGCCAGTGGGTGTCCAAACTTGATCAAGGTGAAGGTTAAGAAATGCAGATTGGTAACTACCGAGGGTGCAGATTGGTTGAGGGCAAGTAGGGGTTCCATTGCCGTGAATTTAGATACTACTGAGTTGGAGAATCCTGATGGGGCTGCTAGTGATGGTGGTGCCCCTGAAGTTGGCCAGGAGAATCGGCAGTTGGGTGGCCAAGATGGCAGTGGTAGTATTGCATCAAGCAGTAATGGAAGATCAACCTCCTTCAAAGCAAGGTTAGGGCTTATTACAGGGCGGAATTTGGTTGCGTGCACATTCAGAAGGTGGTCAAGCTTTGGTGGAAATTCCAGGAATAATTAGACAAAGGAACTGGTTGATTTGGAGTGGAGAACAACACTTCTGATCTATTCAAATTGTTTTGTGTTGTAGTGATTTTCTGTTTGTCTTTGTGTTTCTAATTTGGCTGCTCTGTTTTAATGCCTTCCATAGATTACATTTTTATGTGTGGAAGTCTGATTCTATAACATGTCTGAAATAGTGCTTTGTTCTTCACTGTGTGCTACCCAAAATGCTAGACTGATAACAGTTGAATGGGGAATAGGTTGTTGCTGTTCTTTAATCACTTGGGAAAAACTAATTTGCAATGTGGAATTCTTCTGTCACACAGCCAAGAGGAATATCAGCACTCTTCTAGCAATGATAGACAACAGAGAAACTTCCTCTTTTCAAATCTCTATATTCTATGCTCCGATTTTCAGCATGATCTGGATTTAATGCGTATGACTGTCTTCTTGTCCTCGTAGCTGTATATCTTATATTTAATTGCTGTCTATAGTTTCTGCTGCCTGGTAAGCCAGCCTGCAATGTTAATTTTATTTCTCCAATATCTTGGAGGGATGTAAAAATGCCATTTTGAATGGTGTTTGCTTATAGGTTTGATACTTGCATCCAGTGCATAGGAATCTGTTATCTTTGCCTCCTTTGTTCATTCAAAGGAAACAATTGCTTTGTTTGTTACACCATGGGAGAAAGAGAAAAGAGTGGAAGGTCATCCATTTTGTGCTCTCTAGACGCGCATTTCAGGGTTCTTGTTCATGAACTTTGCATTGCCTATTTGTTTTATTCTTTTAGTTCACACTTTCAGGTCGAAACTGCACCGTTGTCCTACTGTTGATAACTCGTTCCATTCAGGTATGTCCCAAAGAGCACAGGTAAATCATGCAAGTGCGAACATAACATAACAGCAACATAATGCAGGAAGAATGAAATTCAAAGCAGTTACAACATGCGATCTCTGTTTCGCAACTGAGCAAAAACAGAAATAAGTAGTCCCCAATAGAAGTGTTGCAACTGAGCAAAATGGTAAATAGGAAGTCCCCAACAAAAGTGCACCTTAAAATGCCATGGTTCTTGGCAGCTAAACCGGGCAGTGAAATCAACCCATTCTATGTCCTCGCTTGCATGTCCAACTTCTAATTTGTTTTCTTTTCCTTCTTTGGGGTTGGCTTCGCATAAAGGCTGATTTGACTCAAGATGGTGCCATTCAACAATATACCAAGCACAGAACCCATGACAACTGAAAAAAAAAAAAAAAAAAAACTTTAACAAATATGGCAAAACTACAAAGCTCAAGTTTGACAGATACAAACTTATAAACAGGGAAATTTTTAACCTTATTCCAAGAATTCAAGACACTACTATTCTTAAGGTTCAATTGTGACATTATCATACTAAACCTTAGTTTGAGACACCATTATACTAAAGGTCAAACCTGGTGCATAAAGCAATAGCATCATGCAGGGTGATTAATTGAAAAGTGAGTGGAGAGAGATACGTACCAGTCATTGGAGCTTTTTCTTGTACGCTGGTAAAAACTCTCACTGTTGGAGAAAGAAAAGAGAGATCTATTAGAATTGCAGGGTTTGCCTACAACAATGAATCATTTAGAATGAACTTACCCATGGAACCGGCAAAGTTCATCATGAACGTTAAAAAGCTTAGCTCTCCTGTGCTCTTATTCTGCACAAGAAACCAGAACACAATAATGAACTCTTTGAGAATGAAAGCAGTCAGCTGATAAGAAAACGAAAATGATATCATAATTTTCAAGGTTCACAAGACTTCTTAAAATATCTATTTCTCTAGGAGGACACTATGCTTAGCTTATAAATTCATGTACTCTTAGAAATACGATATAAGATGTGTAACTGAATTGCAAAGGTTGTCCAATCACGATATTACAGTTAATGGAAAGTGGTGGCGAACAAATAGTTAGTAGTGTTCTCTAGCAATTAATATCATTTCAAACTACAGAAGATTATTAATTATTAGAGAGAAATGCACATCCGATATCATAGGGAAAAAAAGAGAGGATCAACTTGCATGCCTACCTTAAAGTTCTTCCATATCTGAGGAATTCGAGCAAAAAGGAATATAGCATACTGGGAAGCCTGAAAAGAACACAGACAGGAATTCAAACATTGAAGTCACTTTGAGTTCATTAATGAGAAAAGCTTGATTCTGTCAGAATGAGGATCCTAAAATGAAAAAAGAAATACAAAAATAAAACAGAAGGCATAGGAATATCCATAAACATGGTATTAAAAGTCATTACTTACGAATAGAGCCTCAAAAAGGATGGGATCAATTTTTCCTGTTAAAATAGTTGGCGCTATACCACAGTATCTATTATTAGATCAGTAAAGAAATGCAAATGTTCATCCCACTAAAAATAAATTTTTTAAATATGCAATACCAGAGTAATGGCTGCAAACCTTGCGTACACTCTCAAATTCATTATAATACACAATTATCCAATAGAGTAGCAAACAGGATACAGTAGTGCGATCATCCATCTCTTTGTGCTCAACGGTTTAGAAAAATAATAGATGATTGCAACTAAGATTAACGCTGCAACAAGGAAAAAATGGTATTAGTGAAACTATGTTCCAACAGATAACTATGATAGTAAAAAACAATTAATTGCAACTTTTGGACTTCATTGCCTCGAGCCACAAAGGAGTGGCTATCAACACAACACAAGGGTAGGGCAAAAAATTCAAACTTTATGAAGAAAACAGAAGAAAGTCGTTAACCAGAAATAAAAATACTATGTACCTTGGATTAGGAGAAATACATACTCGCCAAAAGCTGAAAAGGGAAGTCCTTTGTGAAGACAATATCCCAAGGCAATTGTATAACCAAGTAATTCAAGCTCAAAGGCTACCACACTAAGCCCTCGGATGCTTCTGTGATTCAGAATCTTTAATATCTGCAAATGGAGATCAGAAGCAGAGTCATGCATGCCTACAAAAAATGCTCTATAGAAGTTCCTATTATGCTAAGAATAGGAACATAAGTCTGTAAGGAAGTAAATAGAGCTCTGTATAGAAATGATGTTTTTTTAATGAAACACAAGGTCTAATACAATCGCAATGAACGTCAACCACAGATCTCCACATGCCAAAATATGTCATGAATACCCATAGCCTCATGGGGTTAGAAAGAAACTTCAATAAGTAGCAGACAGAAGTTCATGTTACCATCCACAAGCATGGTAGACTTGAAGCGTACCAACCACTTATTAGTAAGGCCATTCCATAACATATTAGGCATTAGTTTTGTGATTAGAACAACTTCTTAAATTCCCGGTTTCCATCTTTATCAATGAAAAGCTGGCACACCAAAAAAAATTTACAATTCCATTTTTCACTATATCATGCATATACTAAGAACCTAAAATATCTATGCCCAAGCCAAATCTCCAGCAATAAGCTACCACAGGACTTCCTGGTTCCTTGAAAGGGTAAACTGGGTTCCTGAAAGTTCATATTTTTACTGAAACCAACTAGAAATTCAATCAATTAAAGCTCAATCACAGTCCAACTAACATAACCGGCTATACATGGATCAAGAACTGGCATCATTCAAATGTTCAACCTAATTGCTTTTGTAAATCTAGGATCATTCAAATTAATGCATAACAAAAGAGAAAGACTGAATCTTTGCAGTGGCTATAAAGAAAAATAGAAAAATACCTGAGGAAGCTTGACAGTCATGGAGGCGGCGACTATAGCGTAGCCCAGTAGCTTTGATATTAATGGAAGCAAACAGTCCTTCTCGGGGAATTCGCCTTTGCTAAGAGATCCAAACGCACAGCTAAAGTCCATCCCAAGAAACTTCATCTCCATTGCGGGTCACCTGAAGACACCCCAATCTTCAGTCTCCGAACTTCAAAGAAAGATTGAACCTTTCGAATCTGCAACGAAACAATAATGAAGGGGAAGAACGCTTCAGAGCGCGGCAAATTATATATACTTCTCCTTGAGAAATATCTATTGCAGCCAAAGTCTTCTTCACTGCTCTAACTATTGTACGTTTGTACTCCGTATATTTCGAAAAAATACTGCGTATAAAATACGGAGTAGAATGCCTGCATTTGGGCCCATATCGGGCTTGTTTGGTTATCAGTGGTTAGTGGTTAGCTGTAGCGAGTTGTGTTAGCGGTTATCAGATAGCAAATTATATTAGCGTGTTTGATCAACAGATTGTATTAGCGGTTTATAAAAAAGTGTTTGGTAAAATTAACTGTTTAGATTAGCGGTTAACATGTAAAATGACATATATATCTTTATAATAATTAATAATAATAATAATAATTTAAATAAATAAATAAATAAATAAAAAGAAAGAAGGGAGCAAAGCTGCTCCCTTCTTGGCTTTTGTATTCTCACTTTTCCCACCGTCCTACATAGGTGGGAAAAATGGGAATAGAGTCTTGAGGCTCCGGCTCCACAAATTCATTTGTTGCCCATCTGGGATGGGCAACATTGAGGAGCCATTTTGGCTCCTCAAATAAAAGTTTAAAATTTTTTTATTTTTAATTTTTAATTTAATAAACAGGGGTGTTTTGGGGAAAATTTTAATTTTCACCTAAAACGCTAACTTCAAACGTTGCACTTTGCAGCGTTTGCAAAAGCAGCGATTTAGAGCAAACTGCTGCTCCAAATCGCTGCTAACCAAACAGATTTTTTTGGCGTTTTGACATGGTCAAATCGCCAAAAATGGCAGATCCGCCGATAACCAAACATGGCCATCGAGTCATTCCAATCGTTATGCTATGGACTCGTGTCCAGCATACATTGTGGACACGGTAACGGTGTCGTTAGTGGTACCGTTATCTTTCACCATTTTTTTTTTAAATTTCAGACCGCTTCATTATAAGAGCATATGTTCATAATTTTATCACTATATGTTTATAATTGTAAGTTCATAATGTCAGACCTCTGTGTTCATAATTCCAAAATTGTACATTCATACTTCCATAACTGTACATTCATAATTCAATAACTGTAAATTCATAATTTTCGAAACTCTATATTCACAATTTTAGAGCTCTATGTTCATAATTTTATCACTATATGTTCATAATTGTAAGTTCATAATGTCAGGGCTCTGTGTTCATAATTTCATAACTATACATTCATAATTCCACTATATGTTCACAATTTTAGAGCTCTATGTTCATAATTTTATCTCTATATGTTCATAATTGTAAATTCATAATGTCAGAGCTCTATGTTCATAATTCCATAACTGTAGATTCATAATTTTATAACTGTACATTCATAATTCCACAAACGAATAACGCCATTAACGGCAAGACAAAATCTTTTTTTTTTTTAACTGGAATGCCGTCGTTTTCCCTGAAAGCGACGTCGTTTTGGACTCGTGTCCACAATGCATTGTGGACACGAGTCCACAGCATAATTTGCCGAGTCCTTCAAGCCAATCATTATATTTCTGAGCAAATTATTGTGTATACTTGGGTCCACCTTGCAAGGTAGACTCGGGGTACAAAGATACACAATTTACAATTTTACATACTAAATATTCACAATTTACGTTTAAAAAATTCATAATTTATAATGACTCTGTATTGTATTCACAAATTCTCAAAATGTAAAAACACAATTTATATTAATAGTTCACAATTTCAATATTAAAAATATACAATTTAAAACTATAATTCACCTTGAAAGGTGAACCCGAGTCTACAGAATAATTAGCGTATATCATGTATAATTGAATTAACTCTCAGGTCGTCGCTCTAGTGTGTTTGGCTCTTCTTCTAAGCACCTTTGGAAAGGTAAAGAATGTGAAAATCCGATAATTAACTCTGAGAAGAGAATTTCTTCATTTGTTCTCGTTAGAGTTTTTCCTTTTTCACAATTTGAATTTATTGGTGAAATTTTCATTTTTAATATGCTTGATAGGATATATACTCCGGATCCGTGTTCTCACTATATATATATATTACATTGTTAGTATAAGTATTAAAAAACAGATTATGTAAACAAAAGATTTGTTAGACAAGGTGGTAAAAAACATGTTTTGGTTTAAAATTGGCCTGAGTTTGAATCCTTGCATAAAACACAATGCAATGGCAATTTTCTTCAAATTCTTGCTTCAACACTGTTTATTTTTGGCATACATATATATAACTTTCTTTTATATTAATAATGAGATATATAACTTTTTTTAATATTAATAATGGAATGTGTAATTTATAATGTGTTTTATATTCGAATTATTTTATCAAATTAATTATGTTTCATATTTTCTTCAAATTCTTGCTTCAACACTGTTTATTTTTGGCATACATATATATATATAACTTTCTTTTATATTAATAATGAGATATATAACCTTTTTTTAATATTAATAATGGAATGTGTAATTTATAATGTGTTTTATATTCGAATTATTTTTTTTTTTGGATCTAAGGGAAGGGGGACACCCAAGGTTATATTCGAATTATTTTATCAAATTAATTATGTTTCATATTTTGTTATAAATATTTTTATAAAGTTTTGATATGTTTTATAAAGTGTTTCATTTTTTTTTTCGAACTTTTTCTTTTATTTTAATTTTTTGCCCACACTAAAAGAAATTTCTGAGTCCACCATTGATTCCACCCACCATTCAAAGTCGGAGCCAAGCTCCTCTCTTCTCACCGCGCTTCTAAATCGCAGCAACGTCGAAGGCAACATCAGGTCCTTGGTGTCATTTCTTGTGTGTTTCTCCCTGTTTTTCGTACAGAAAACACAAGTTAAAGGTGGGGGTAAAGATAATAGTGAGGAAATAGTAATAGCATAGCATAAATTAAAAAGACAAAAGCAAGTGAAGGTGGCTTTGAAAATGGGAATAGGCATAAATGAAGTGATGCATGCATTTTAATTGCTGGTGAGTGGCGGTGGACTTTAAAAGCAAAGAAAATAAAGACATTAGATTTTGCATGCATTTTGCTTAGTTGTGGCTGGCGGTGGAATTTCAAGATCAAGACAGGGGATTGGGGGAAGGAAAGAGAATGTTGCTATTGGCTGCATGCGTAAGAGTGAGTAATCTGCGGATCTATAATTTTAGGAATTTTTTGTTATGAGATTATGAATTTAAAGTTATGTAATTATAAATTTTTTATACAATTATAATCTCATAACAGATCAAAAATTCATAATTTTGACCGTTAGGTTGGCCTTGCCACTACTGGCCCAGTTAGCCTGAGATCATATCTTGACTTTAAAACCTACGGGTTAGGCAATTGAGTCCGCGAGGTCGGACTTCCGACCCAATTCAAAACCAATCTGGTGATTGGTATCGCTTGATCACACCCAAAATCCGATCGCTCGATTGGTAGCGTATAATTCCTCTATCGCGTTAGAGGTCCGATCCCTTGATCGGTATGTATGGAGTATTATTAACACCGAACTTAATAATATAATTAAATATATCATATATAATTATATTGAATATTATTACCATCGATCCTGATAGAAACCGCAATCATACTTGGAATATTTTCATACGAAAATCAGTTTGTTTGTGTTTCCCCTTTGTCATGTTTCTCTCGTTTCAAAGGTATTGGAAAATGGTGGTTGTGATTTCCAGATGTCCTTTTGAATGGTATTAGAAAGAGTAAAGAAGATGAAAAAGACGAAGATGGCGGTGAGTTGTGTAATCGTGATTAGGATGCGTTGGTGTTGGCATTGCGAATTAAGATGCATGAACATGGCCGCTGTTTTAAAAGTGTGCGTGCCTTGGGAATTTTAATTTATTCTTTAATTAATTATGGGTTCACGTTGTTAAAAACACTAACACCTATTTAATTCGCTGAAAAATATTTGAATGAAAATGAAATTTTAGAAAAATAGATTCTATTGTGGTTAGTGAAAAAAACGAAATAGGAACGTTATTTAGACTTAATTTGGAGGTTGATGAGATTAGAGTAGTTAGAATAGTAGTGAAGTGGTACGAAGTGATTTTTTCAAATGAGAAATTAGAGTCAGTAGTACTAAAAAGAAAATAAAATTATTAGAATAGTACCCTTTGTACACGAGAAAGAGTTTATAAGTTCCTCACTAATATTTGTATTACAAAATAATCATTTAAAATGTCATTTCACCAACAAAAAGTGGTGAGTTGTCCCAATCGCTATCTTAAATGCACAATTTCTTAGGTAGTTTTGGATTAAGGGCCTTGCAACCCATTGGATTAAGGGTCTCGCAACCCGCCCCTACCAAAACGACGTTGTTTTGTTAAGTTGTTAAAAAAATTCTCTATTTCGAATGCATATAAACTCATAACAGAATACACATAAACTCATAACAGAATACACATAATCTAACATAATACATAATACACATAAACTCTTAACATAATACACATAAACTCTTAATTGAATACACATAAACTCACACCGTATACATAAACTTTTAACTGAATACACATAATTGGGTTTGGTTAACATAATACACATAAACTCATCACACAATACACGTAGACTTTTAACTAAATACACATAATGAGATTTGGTATATTTGAACGAACGAAAAAGAAACACACGTGTTTTGTGCCTGAGCGCACATTGCTATGTGCGCCGTGGTGCACGATATAAATTGTCCATGACATGTTCATGAATTGATATACTATTAAAAATAAACTTTGAATCTTTTCATTATATTAAAAATGAAATTTGCCTTTTTAGCCCAATGGATCACTTTAGTATTAAAATTGCAGGCCCAAATTTCACTGGACTCTCAGACTTCAAATCGCGATTCACAACCGTCGCCAACTACCATTAACAATGAGAACACCAGTTTCAACTGATCTTTCCTTGGCGCAAAAATCCCAAACCTATAAAAAAAAAAAATGAAAATTAAAAGGCAAGTATGAAAGTCTTCGTCGGCCGAATGCGGCGTCCGCCGTGCCGCAGGGCTCCGACGAGTTCCGCTCCTTCTTTCGCCGTCTCCCTGAGTTTGAATTCTGGTTCGTATTCCCATTCGTAGACTCTTTCTAATTGAAGATCCATAGATGTAGTTATGTTTACGTAAAAATACTCGTAACATTAGGGGAATCAAATAAATATTTGCAATTCTAGTAGTGCCTGTATATGTATACTGCGATCTCGATTGTGGAATTGGATAATTGAGACTCTACATGATGGATTTAAACTTTAGGTAATGATAGAAGCTCAATTGGCATTGTCAGGGATAGGAACATTACTGATGGCTGGATAGATTGATGTAAAGAAGTCATGGATTTTGGTGCAGTGAGAGCAACTTCAATTGATGTGCAAGTGCAGGCAGAAGATGAGATTATTGGTGTATTAAGCCAGTCAATGGTGAGAATGTGAATTTCTTTTAGGGAGGAGATTTTGTTAGAAAGTTGTGTTAGGAGAGTGAAGCTTTACTAGGAAGAGCTCAAGTAAATATGTATGGAATTCATTTACTTATCAAAAGAAGGATCTGTAATTCTTCGTTGAAATTTCACATCCAGAATATCAGCCTTTCATCGTTGAAATTTCATTGTTGATGGAAGATATATCTTCTCAGTGTCTTGATAATTATTGCTCAGCTCCTCGAACCGTGCAGAGTTATCAATCTTTTTATGTGGTTCTATATGCAGCTTATCTCCCTACGGGGATTTAGTTTTCCTTTTTGTGAATTGCCATGAAGGAATATGCATTATTTGAAGAGCACAAAAAGACGTCCATTATTGTGACACTATCTTGAAAGATAAGGGAAGGTATCAAGGTAGGGTAAGTATCACTGGGGGATTTGGAAAATCTATACAGATAATTGTCCTTTTTAGGTGTTGAATGCCCTTTTGCCTTCAGCTTATAGCTGTTTGGTGCCCTACCATGCCTGGTACACTCACTGGCTTAAACTCTGCACACGCGCACACACTTATAGCTTCTTCAACTTGTGTTAACTAAGCTGGTTTGGGTCGCATCACCTTGTGATTTGTATTCTGGTTTTTTGGATTAATGCCGGCCTGATGCACTGCACCTTGAAGTCGTATGATCTTAGTCTTTTGCAATGATACTGTTATATGAATGGTTTGGTTTAACAGGTGAGTGAATGGGGTCACTTTCAACCACAGCCATTATGGATGCAGTGCACTCGCTCGTAAAAAGATTGGTGGAGGACCACCATTGTCCATTTATTGATCTGGTGTGAGTGGCCAGACTCTCCCAACCTCACAAGTACGCACCAGCATTGGAATCTTGACCTCTTTTTTCTCAGTTCAGCCAATTTGTCTAAGCAAGAAGACAATGTTACATCAGTAGATGAACTGCTAAACACACTCTTTAGACAAATTGTGGGTATCTATCTATCTGTCTATAACTCTATATCAGCATATTAATTGAGATGTCTTGCAGCTTCTATAAATCTGTAATGGTAACTGTTAAAAATTGCTGCTTTATCTGTTTGATGGCTACAGAAACTTATGAAAATGTTGACCCTGTTGGGAGGGGAATGTGTGTTGATGTAGTGATGGCCATTAAGGGGTTGTAAGGTAGGAAATGTTTGGGGCTAACAAGTAGGGACTATGGACAATGTTTCAAATCAATATAAGGCTATTTTCATGCATTTTGCCAAGTGATAAAACCGATTAGTCTTGGAGGACCACTTCAACCACAGACAAGCCGTTGTCTTGATGCCCCATCTTCTGTAGGCATCTTCCATTCTGAGCTCTTTTAATAACAAATCTCAAATATTTTGAGGTTGCATTGGTACCAGGATATTTATATATATAATATTATATATATATCTTGTTAGTTACCCATTTTTGGGTTGGCAAGATTGCGTTTAATATGCCTCGAAAGGGGTGGTTGAGTGGGTAAAGTACGACTCTCGTATCTAAAACTCTAAAAGTCACGAGTTTGATCATGGCCAACACTTTATCCATTGAACCACTTGTGTAGTTTGGACAGGAGTTGGGTTTTGCTACACCATGTCTAATTTGTAAGAATTTTGAGGCTGAAACCCTTAATTATAAACTTGAAAATTACTAAAACGAATTTAATAATGTTATGTTGTATAATATTTTGCAAAGTGATTATGTATAAATTATTATCAATTTTGTACGACTTAAACTTATTAATTTTCTATACCATAACCTATACTCTGTAAGCTATACGTACCCTACTAGCTAACAAAATACTCCACATACATAAGCCAACTTCTTCTACCTTCATCTAAAGATGACATGACACGTTAGCACACATATAGAATAAAAAATGTTAATTCATATTTTACTTTCTTAGACTTTGTATTAAGTGGAAGACCGATATCTTCAACATGGTACAGATTTTCTAACCGAGTAGTTGCATTAGTACCCACTTATCTAATAATCACTGTTAAATATCATGTGATCGGGATTAGTATAGTTGGAAAATTTAACTGTGGAAAGGTCGGCCCATCATTTATTTTCTTCACGCTCTATGCTTGTGCTTGGTTTAATAATAATAGAAGCACAGAGGGTGATTAGTGGGAATGGAGTAAAAGTGGTGGCGGTCCTGCAATTCTCACTGGAGTGTGCATTTCACTCACGTTCCCCACGCGTGGGATTGCCATTCTTGTACCCTTTTGATTTTAATTGTGATTGGAAGAGAGCCATATTTAACATGACATTATGTGCTCTACATAGTCTCTCTCTAAAGACTGCATCTTTTGGATATGGAAGGTGGACTTCCCATGCTCAACTGTCTCTTGCAGCACACTCTCAGAAGCCTCTGTACATGCTCAGATTCTTCTTCCCCTTCCCCAAAATGGGTTTACGCTGTTTTCTGGAGAATCCTCCCCAGAATTTACCCTCCTCCAAAGTAAGCAATTCTGCTGCAGAACAGGAAAGGGTCAAATTAAAAGAAAACATGGTTTCTTGGTTTCTTAACATGGTGGCATTTCTTTCGTTGTTTTAATTTGCAGGTGGGATCATGGAGGAAGCCTGCTTGATCGCGCGAAAGGGAATAAAAGGAATTGGTAATTACACTTTGCAGGAGTAATGAGCATCTTGAGTTGTTGAGTTCTTTCCTGGTAATATACTGATGGTGATGGGAATTGGCATTTTGGTTTTTACTTCAGGATTCTTGTCTGGGAAGATGGTTTCTGTGATTTCTGTGAATGTGAACGGGCCGGGAGTGGATATGTGAAGGGAAGGTTTGGTGCTGATATCTTTTTCAAAATGTCTCATGAAGTCTACAATTTTGGTGAAGGGTGAGGCTCCATTTCCAGCTTCCTTTCTTGACTTTAGTTTGGCAGGGGGAAATGTTGATGATGATATTGTGAATTTTTCTTCTTTTTTCCAGATTGGTAGGTAAAGTTGCAGCTGATAACAGTCACAAATGGGTGTTCAGAGACAGCCAAACTGAGACTGATCCTTCCTTCATCTCTTCCTGGAATGTATCACTTGATCCTGTAAGCAATTAAAATCCCAGTTTTCTCGAAAAGAAACCATGCAAGAATCAGTTCCTCACCATTCTTATTTCCCCCAAATTCATCTTTTTGTTTCATTGTTTTAACATCTCAGCAGCCAAGAGCATGGGAGGTTCAGTTCAACTCAGGCATTCAGGCCAGTGGAGATTTATTCAGTATTAATAATTTTTTTTTTTTTTTTTTTTTTTATTTCATTCTAAAGATTACCAATTTAGAAAGTTTGTTTTACTTATGTTTGACAGACAATTGCAATCATATCTGTGAGGGAAGGCATCATTCAACTTGGCTCATTCTCTAAGGTCTCTCTCTCTCTATGTTCCTCATCTTCTCCAATCAACTTTTCTTCTTTTCTGTGACACCATTTTTGACTGTTCCACAGGTTGCAGAAGACCTTAATATGGTAATAAACATTCAGAGGAAATTCAGTTATCTGCAGAGCATTCCAGGCATCTATGCAATACAAAGGCCATACTTGCCCCTCCAACATCCATACACATACAAGCCAAACACCCCCTCTGAAGCCTGCAAATCTGGGTATGAAACAGAAGACAAAAGGCTGCTTAATACCCCTTCAAAAAGATCAAATCTTGAAGAACTAAACGACTCGCCGGTTAAGTCAATGAACTTAGGCTATAACACCCCACAAAATGCTCTTCCTTTGTGGTCCATTCCCCCCCTTTTCCCCTCCCTGCCTTGCAGCCTTGGAGCCCTTTTATCAAAGTCATCATCCTACGTCTTCGACACGAATTTGACACCTCCAACCCAACCCAATGGACACGGGGAATCATCATCCTCGAGAGACAACCAATTCCCTGACATGAAGATGGAGGCTAAAGACGAACACGACTCGTTCCTTCTGAACCGGAGTTTGGAGGGTGGAAGGCAACAACACCACCACCACCCACCAAATCCTCAATAATTAATGTTAATATAACATTAGAAGAGTTGTCTTCACTTGTTAGATTGCATGATTTCCAAGTACGTAGCCTTTTGTTGCCTTGTTGGTTGGTGGCTTAACCTGTTAATAAAGTACTGTAATTTGCTTACATGCATGAAAGCGACCCACAACCTTCTATAATCCTTTATTTCTTCAATTCTTGATTCCTCCTTCCAGAATTTCATGAAACCATGTCAGCACATTCTTGATTCGTGCCATAATTGATGGAGATAACAGCGCAACAACTGATTACCACCTGAAAACAACGTTAATTAAAACGCTGTTAAGCACAACCTATATCTTAAACTTTCTCTTGACGTAGTTGCTGTACGTACGTGAAAAGTACATTAAAAACAAATTTTGTGCATATGGTGTTAGTCTCCATAGCAATCCATTTGCTCAGAAAAATAATTGTCCTTGGGAGAGAATTCCAACCAGTTGGCACCAGTGTCGTATTCAAGACTTTAGTACACACTACACATTATAACACATCACATCATCGTTTAGATCAGCCCGGGGTTGATCTCTTGCCTACTTGCTTCCCACTTTTTTTGGGCTTCTTTTTATACCCTTGTTTTAGTTAGTCTTTTGCCTTATTGTGGCACAAATAACCCAACTCCAATAATGCTAGAGGTGGGGTTCGGATTATTGAGCATAAAATCATTAATGTGCAATCCAACTATCAGCTTAGGTTTTTAGTTGAGATGGAGCACATGTTTCAATTAGGTATCAGAGTTAGCGCCACCCGATAAAAAAAGAGACTACGACATGAAGTCTGACTGAAGTTAGGTGATTAACCACTAAAAAAATGGTAAACATGGAGGTTGTGTGTTCGAGCTTCAGTGGATGCGCTATTGACTTTTTGTGCTTCAATCGGTTGAGAAAGTAGTTATGAACAAAATACCGCATTGTAATAGAGTTAATAGTATTAAAAAAAAAAAACTAAATTAACTGTTGCATTGAACCTGAAGGAAGTGTAAATTTTCTTGGAGGTTATATTATGGGAAAACAAAGAAGGGGCAGCAATGATAAATGAGCTAAAGATCAAGTTGTTGAACAGAGACAGCGGAAACCTCATCCGACAGAACGGATGGTCCATAGGCTCAAGGTTGTCTGATATTTATTTTCTGGGGAATTTGAATTTGATGTTTAAATGAGTTGTGATGTGTATTACAGGGCATAAGAGGAGGGCCCTTACTCCTTAGCTTAGAAGGATGTGACTTTATTTGCTGCTATGAAATATCAATTCTTGGACAGTTAATGCCAACCTTAACAATTTCCAACATAAAAAAGCATAGCCAGTTGGCTATAATAAATCTCTCATCTTTTTCATTTTCTTTTTTTCCCTCACGAGAAAGCCCGCAACCCCTATTTGAAGATGTCTCTGAGTGAATTTGTACTGTGATCTTAGCCGAACCAATTTAAGTTATTCATAGTTGGCTGGTTCAAACTAAGAATGCTAATAGATAACTTTTACAAAGAATTGAATTTGAAACTGTGTAATTATAAAGTCAACCGACCAATTCAGCTGGGATTGCTCTTTTTTTTGGAGGGGGATCACATAAAATTAATCACAATAAGCATATTATGAAAGAAAAATATTGTCAATATCACAATAGTAGAAACAAGCAGTAAAAAAGACTGCAGAAAAATATAATGCACACTTTTCCTTCCCCACACCACTGCTTTCAAACTGGAATATAATCAATTCTCAAGAACTGATGCTTTGATGCTTTTCTTTCCCTTATCACTAAAAGCACCAATTGGTTGAGCACGGATGCGCTTCATCGCCTTCACTCCAAGCGGGTTATTCTTGCTCTGCATCGTCAAATATGTTACACACATTAATAAATAACGACACTACACATTTATGTTTATATATATTATATGCTGAACGTGACCTACCATTAAGCAGGTGCCTTGCCTAACGTTACAAACCGGGTAGTCATGAGGGCAGCAACTGAAATGGTCATCACAGCAGATTGCATTTTCAAGAGGGCAACACCCCCATGCAAAACAGAAGTCTCCTACTAGGAAAACACAGCAGCAGGTGTTGCTTGCCGGGCACTCGTCGTATTTGTCACACACGGTGGGGGGCTTAACCGGAGACGGAGGAGTTGGAGGAGGGCGGGGAGGATTCCCACCTTTCTTGATAGGGTAAGATGGCTCGATGGCAATGCCACACAAACCGGCTTCCGTGTTCACATTACGGTGCATCCTCACATAGCCCTTCTCTCCCCAGTGTGAGCCCCATGAGTTCTTTACAATCCAATAGTCCAAACCGTTTTCTGTGCCGTACCCAACAACAGTCACGCCGTGGTCCAAATTAGTGCCGCACATTCCAGTGAATACTCCCTGGAAATGCATACACAAATATCATCTATGTTCTGAGAACATAAATTGAGAAAATTAAAGATAGAATTGAATAGGATGTTACTGATTCATAGAACTGGAAAGCCATGCCGGCAGCTTCAATGGCAACGCTAATGGGCTGATTTGCCGCAGCCTTCTGCAGCGCTTTCTCGTCATTTCCAGGAACATCCTCGTAGCTATCAATGGAAACAGCCTTGACAGATTTCTGCAGAGACAAATTGCACAAAAAAAATCAGTCTTTTTTGAGTAATTAGGGAACCTGTGATAAATTGTTGAATACTGACTTTCAATTGGTTGCAGGTGCCATCCTTGGCGGTGTATGGGTAATCTTGCTCGGTGTCAATGCCTCCATTCTTGATTATGAACTCAAAAGCATAGTCCATTAGACCGCCATTGCAGCCTTTATTATATGATGTATCGCAATCCACCAGCTCCTGCTCTGATAACGAGATCAACTCCCCACTCACAATCTGGTTTATACCTTCCACGGCCGCCACCGCTGAGAATGCCCAGCACCCCCCTGTTTCATTAATCCACTCATTAAATTTAGGCAAATTATGCTGTGGAACCATGTCCACTTTCAGAGTTCCAAAACTGTTCATAATTGTATAGCATTTTATAATTATGAACATAAAGTTCTGTAATTGTGAATATAAAATTCAATAATTGTTAATATGAAGTTCAAAATTTATAAACATAGAGTTCTGCAGTTGTGAATATAGAGTTCAGTAATTGTGAATATGAAGTTCAAAAATTATGAACATAAAGTTTTATAATTATGAATATAGAGTTAGTAATTATGAACATAGAACCTAGAATCCTAAACCAAAACATATATATGCGGTTGTTAGCAAACCAACCAAGTTGGTTGGGTTGATAGCTTAGTCACCATAAAGTTTTACGGTCAATTCTTAGTGAAAGCCTATTGAACTTTATGGTATAGATAATAGACTGATTTATTTACCTAATACACACTCTTAGAAAAGGTGTTTGTCCAAAGAAAACTAGTTTATTAATTTTAGAAAAGTGGGCATTGTTTTAATAATGTTGTGTGCTAAAAAGAGCTGTGATTTTTAGAGCTGAGGGATTAATATTACCACAGCCCCCTTGATCTTTGACCTCAGTGACGGCGCCTTTAGTCCTCCAGTCGACGGAGCCCGGCAAGCTTTCGCCGGCTTTGGGAGCATACCGGTCGCTTTTCTTGTGTGAGAGTCTCCGGCGAGCATGATCGTAGGTTTTGGTGCCGAGATAAGCAGACCGGTACTCGTGGTTGGTAAGATCGGCGAAGCGGTTCAACCCAAGCTTATAGGTCCGATTTCCAATACTGTTTTGCTCGTCGATGAACCTAAGATTATCCTTAAATATTCCGAACCGCTCCTCCTTTTCTCCGACACCGCTGTACTCTTTTCCGTGCTTAACCAGCCACGACTCGTACAAAGCCATGACCTCTTCGTCGGCCCTGCCCTGCCCTCTCGCCGGATGTCGGTTGTCGTAGGTTATGATCGACATGTCCGCCGCCAAGGAAACGACGGCGAACACAAACATTAAAAGAATCGAAAGATTTGCCATGACGGATCAGAGGAGAAAAATGTAGAACGGGTGAAGTGGCAGCGTAAACTAAATAAGACGATGGCATTAGCTTGTAGGATTAGAAATGGGATGGGACAGCGACAATTATAATTAAATTATTAACATCAACCAAATAGATGCCCGTTTAAATGACAATATTCATCCACAAATCATAGTACGTACTGCTTTAGTGTTTTATGATTAACAAAACATGCACGCAGTTACGCAGAAACAAAAGGACGCTGCATGAATATTTTAATGCGGTATTGTCCTCCGGATTAACAAATCAGCTTTGTTATTTTAGCAAAGGAAGGAAGTAAACCATTACTTGTAGCATATCAGCTTAAACTAAAAGGACATATAAGTAGCTCCGAGGGAAGTCGAATTGCCTTGTAATTCTAGACAAAATATTATAAGGGAATAAATCAACTTAAATTGTTCATAACAGACCGTTGAAACTAAGAAGACTACCAGACATCTCTCACCTAGAGTTAAACTCAAACTTTGAATCTGGTGGTTATCAAATTAACTGTTCAACAACTTGAAACATGGAAGGTTATCAAATTAACTGGTTGACCAACTTGGTTGGATTTGTTCCTGATTTTTTCTAAATCGATTAGAGTCGGCGAGAATAGTTATAAATATAGGAAGTGTAGTATTTTTTGATGATATGGTATACGAAATTGAATTTTAAAAATGCATTAAAATGTACTGTTACCAACCCGAATTGATTTATGAATTATGAGTGATCTACAGGCCAGTTACGTTCCTTACTTCCTTATTTCTCCGTACTATTTTTATTTCGTTTTTGGTAAGGTGATAAGGGATTGATGAAGGCTGAAAGTTAAGCATAGATATTCTACAGAGTTAATACCCAAAATTGTCCTCGACTATAGTGATTTTTCTTAATTTCGTCCTAAACGACTTTGGTGACCTAATATCGTCCCAGACTTTTGAGTTTCGCTCAATTTAGTCCTTCATTTGTTATTTCGTCAAATTGGCGTTAAATAAAGGGACAATTCAGTAATGTTAATATTGATCTCTCTTTACTTTCAACTTGTGAAGTGCGAAATTCCTCTTTCTTGTACGAATTACACCCAGAATTACTCCCGGACCTGCAAATCAAATTTTATATTCGCAGTTTTATGAGTAATTCTGGGAGTAATTCGTAAAAAAAAAAGGATTTCGCAGTTCACATGTCTATGAGTAAAGAGATGTCAATATTAAAATTACTGAATTGTCTATTTATTTAACACCAAATGGACAGAATTACAAATGTGGAACTAAATTGAGCAAAATCACAAAAGTCTGGGACTAAATTGAGCGAAACACAAAAGTCTGGGACGATATTAGGTCACCAAAGTCGTTTAGGACGAAATTGAGAAAAACCACTATAGTCGAGGACGATTTTGGGTATTAACTCATATTCTACACTAAGATGTAAAATCAATTGCTCCGTACATATTTGATAGTCTCAAAATGATTAGTCATGTCTTGGCAAATTTTCCTATGGAACATGAATACAATGTACCTTTTTAATACACTAAAAATATATTATTTTCAGTACTCAAATAATTTACTTTTTATTTATGTTTCACACAGCTGTGTGGATCATGGTCCATGGAATAATGATTGTCAGCCTATTGATCAAACTATTCTTTTGATAATCACAAAATTCAAATTTTGATTTTCTATGAGAGCGGCTCATTATACTTCTTAGTTTGAACTGTAATTATTGTATTAGGATATCACGAATTTAATTCTTACTAATATCCCTTTGATTGAGCTCATAACATATAACTCTTAAATGTAATAAATATTAGTACTAATTGATACCTTAAATTTTTGTTGAACTTTTAGATTTATTTGTTTAGTGGGATAAGAGTGATTTTTCAAGATTCACGTGAATATATGAGCAATTTACGCCTTGTTGGGGCATTTTCTGGGCATGTATATATGCACATATAGGAATTCGTCTCATATATAGCCCAACAAAACTAAATCAAAATAACATCCAATGGGCCAATGGGTGGGTTTGCTGTTAGAACCACATCAATCATGGGATTCCTCTGTCATTCACTTTTTTTTTTTTTTCCAAAAAAAAAACATAAATTAATTAAGATAAAAATTAAGAGCATTACAAAGAAATGAAGTTGGGGAAAACTACTTCTTACACAGTCATGGAAGCAGAATTCCGAGCAAGTAATGAGTAACCTAATTTGCTCTCCTTCTTCATCTTACCGGACGTTTAGTCGGAAAGAAGGAATTAAAAGAGAAAGAAATTATAATTCTGTAAGAAAAGATAAAGGTGAGAATAAAGTATGAATAATTCAAATTACAATTTTTAGTAGGTAGAAATATAATAATAATAATAATAATAATAATAATAATAATTAAGGGTACGTAGTGTTATAATTTCATCTTTTTTTTTTTCCCTTTCGATTCACTACTGAATTTGAATTCATAGGGAGAGTTCAATGATTTTCATTTTCACGCAATTATTATCTCTAGTTAAACAATATAATTATACTCACTACACAGAATTAAGCTCTAGTTGAATTATAATTACAGCCTACCAAATTAAAGAGGTTCTAATGCCCATTCAGTGTATGTCTGTAACATTCTTCAATTCAATTCCCATTGTTCTTTGTTGTCTTCCCACCTCAAAAAACATGAATCATTAGTTCTGGAAAAAATATTCAACAGTGAGCAGCATGGGTTATTGTTTCATGAGAATCCCGCAGCGCACATGCATTTGGTAAATTAGCTATTGTTTGGTATAATTTTATTTTTCAAAAAATTAATTGAAAAAGTTATTTTAAGTAATTTTTTAAATTTTAACATTTTGAAGTTACAAAAAATTAATTAACTAAACATTTATATTAATTTAATCCCAAATAAAACAGCCAATAGTGGTTAAACAAGTTAAAATTAACTGATAAGCTAACTATTTTACCAAACATGGTCATAAGATAATATAAAATACGGAGTATTTACCTATGTTTTGAGTTTGTATCCGTTGTCTAGCACGTACGGAGGTTTGAATTTAAACTTTGATACAAATTAAAATTGAATTATATATAGATTAGATTTTGTCGATAATTAGACAATATATTTATATTTAATAGCAAAGGATCTTGAGGTCTAGTATTTTAGTGGCATCAAGCTGCTCCCTTATATGGAGGTTGTAGGTTTGAATCTCAGTGGAGATGGTACTGATTTTTTGTGCTTCAATAGGAGTAGTATTAAAAAAAAAATAAAAAATTAATTGGATCTTTGTCTATTTTATACTAACAAATAAAATGTTTGTTACTTACAAGGAAAACGTAATATTTCATAGGACAATGTAATACTTTACAGTTTGATGTAAAAGTATTACGGAGTACTTTTTCATCAAAAGTATTATATTTTTCTTTATAAGTAGTATAAATATACATTTTTCATATAGATCCAATCTGACCCGTCTCATGGATAACGATCTCACACAAGTGTGACTCTATATGATTTAATTAATAACAAATTGATTTTTATGGGTTCCGTGGATGGTGTTAATGTATAATTATTATCCATCACCAAAAAAATAAATAAATTGTATAGTTATCTAATATAAGAGTATAGTGCATTTTTTAGCATTTAAAGAAAAAGAGGTACGTGGATGCTGCCTATAACATAGTTCCACAAAACATGCATGATCATTATATGGTTTGACCAATTATAAAACTTGTCGTGAGAGAGATTAAAGCATTGGGTGGTTTCATGTTTTCCGCGTACATATATGATAGATTGAATTACATTGCTTGTGGCAAAGAATGATCATATGTGGTCAAACAAGGTGCCAAAACACTATACATAATCCAAAACCCTTTCGCATCATATAAAGAATATAATAGAGATCGGATTTTTTTCATCACCCAACAACAAAATAAATAAATAGAGATCTCTAAAAAAAAGTATGGTCGAATACTTAAGTGGGTGGAATGTTATTTTTTGTATCAAGAATTGCAAGTTTGATTTTTGTTAACATCTTCTCGATCAAACTTGTCACACGGGATTTTCTTACTGTAATTTATCTTTATTGTGTGGTTTACGCGTGGGCTATTATACACGAATAGACTCATATTTGGTGAAACATGATTATCGTACTGCCAACACTCATTTTTGTCAAACTTATCACACCAGAAGGTCAGCCTACAAGTTCAATTTGCATAATGAGTTCAATTTCTACCAACATTTTATCTTGATTGAACGTATCGTTCAATTTCTGCCAACACTCCCTCTTGGTCGAACTTATCGCATAGGATTTTTCTTGTGCAATTTACCTCGCTCACATGTTTTGTTTGTGGGTTATTACACATAATTATACTTCTTCTATCACATCTACTATTATTAGTCAAATTAATCTTTCTTCCATGCTTGTTTTTAAAATATTTTAAAATTTAATTTTCCATGTTTTTGATAGTATTATTCTTAAAATAGTTTCTAAATATATAAATGTATAAACTAATAAATAATAATAAATTTAATATTATATAAAATGGAATAAAACATAACTTTACTCTTAAGACAAAATAAAACGAATGAGTAATTGTCAAGCATCTTATGCTCAGATGACATGTAGTGAACTCTCCTATATGAGAGATCATGTGATATAAATACTAGAATGAAATAGAGTCAGTAGCAATTAATTATAATATAGCTTTACTCTTTCAATTCGAATGGCATTTTCCATTTGTTCATACATTCATGATTCATGTAGTCGATCGGATAACGTGTGGTTTGATTTCACTCGTCAAGATTCCACACTATACTTTTCAAAGCCCAAATAACCAAGTCAAAAGTTTGTCTCCCGTTTTAATTTCAACTTTTATATTTTTTATCTTTTCTCTTAGTTTTTTTTCCCCGAACAATTTCAAGTAATTTCTAATACTGATCGACTCAAAGTTGACCCAACTAAACATCTTTATACTTTTATATTTTATTAGTTTATATTTCTACAACATTTTTACAACTTTATTGATGGTTAGTATCGTCACAAATTTG